ATATTCAATAAAAATGATTAGTGATAATTAGTGCCAGTGAGACTAATTCCTTATAAAGATTATTGTAATACCAATACTATAGTTTTTGAATGGTGTAAGAATAGTCACTCTAAATTTTGATGTCGATATCGATGGCTTCATTTAGTAGGTGTTTGACAGGCTAAAGAAATCTGACGGAAGGATCATCCTATCTTGCACTGTGTGAGCAATGAGGGACAAGTTCCCAGAAGCTTGTTAAGACTACCCTGCATTTTTTTTTATGCTATAGGAGACATAGGCGGATTCAAGGGGACCCCTTGAAAAACATACTTGTTTTAACTAAAATATGACAAGAAGTCTTTAAATGAATAACTTAATTACAAATTTAACATAGATAAAAAAAAAAATTTATTAACAACAAAAAGTTGAGAACCATATGCCAAAGCAAAATACACTACAAAATAAACTTGGTTTAGGCCTAATGTATATTCGTCAATGATGTTAGATTGTGATGTTAAGAGACCTGTTTCTTAACGGCAAAACAATAGTGTAAGTAGGCCTAGACTATGTACAGTCATGGTACAGTAGGCCTATTCAAATTTTTTTTTTTTTTTTTTTTGGGGGGGGGGGGATTTTTTTTGAGAGGAAAAAAATTTCAATTCATTTTAAACCACATAGTAAGTAGGTCCTAGTGTAGAATAGTCTTCCCTTCCGCACAGTGGCGGCTCTAGGATATAATGCGCCGCCACTGAATACGCATATTTATCATATACAGTAATTATCAGAATAGGATATTAAGTAATCATTCAATGAATCAAATTGACGGAGAACATACAGTAAATACAAAGTGTCCCATAGGCCTACATCGCGGTCTAATTTGTTCAGGGAGGCTTAAACGATACTGCCTAGGCCTTAAGCCTACATCAACTGCCGCCGAGCACGTTTCCTGCTGGACATCGTCGTGTAGGCCTAGGCTAGCCTAGGCCTGGATTTGCCTGTTTGGAAAACGCTTCAAAACGTCAGATAACTTTCATACGGAAAGACTCCCATCCATTCCTATCACTTATTAACTTCTGTATATGGAGTGCCACAGGGCACAATTTTAGGGCCTCTGTTTTTCTTGTTGTATATAAATGATATGCCTGATGTTTGTAACAGATCTGACGTTATTATGTTTGCAGATGATACGAATGTATTTCTGCAACATGAAAATGTAAATATGGCATTTACCATTATGAATAGAGAGCTCGCTTATTTAGGCTCATGGTTCTTAGCTAATAAACTAATTATCAATGTCTCAAAGACAAAATATATAATTTTTAGAGGTAAAAATAAACCAGTTGACATAGGTAATAATAAGTTATCTATAAACAACAATACAATAGAATGTGTAGATTTCATAACATTTCTAGGAGTAGAACTTGTCAAATTTTTAACTTTTGTACACCATGTAAATTATATAGCTAACAAAATCTCTATTATGATCTCTCTAAATAGACTCAAGACATTTTGCCGCAAAAATTTTTATTGACTATATACAACTCGTTAATTCTCCCAGTTATAACATATTGCATATCCACTTGGGGTACTGCTGACTCTACAAATATAAGCCGTATTCATATCTTACAAAAAAAAGCTTTAAGAATTGTATGCAACGCCCATTATCAGCATCCATCCTTGCCTTTATTCATCAAAACAAATTCTCTCACAGTGTATGACATTTATAAGAAGAATATTTCAATATTTATGTATAAGTACTTCATGGGACAAGTACCAGTGTCTTTTAATAGTTTTTTCCAGACTTATGGCTCTATACACAGATATGGTACAAGAAATAAAGATAACTTGTGTATAACAAAAAAGAACACAAATATGGGACAAAAGGGCCTAACATATATAAGGCCTAAAATTTGGAATGATATCAATGTAGAATTAAGACTCAGTAATAGTATTTATAAATTCAAAAGAAATTTAAATAACCATTACTATGAAAACTATAAGTGTAATGCAAACCTATATATAAATAATTGTGCTGTATGTAATCATATTTAACTTTTCTTCAGAATTTTCAATGACTATTGACTTGTTACTTTATTTATAAAATTTATTTTTTGTGATATTGTTGTTATTTTTTTTTCATAAACAATGGGTGCCCGTTATAAAGCTTGCATGCTGTGACGACACTTTTTCCACTTTATTTAAATGTCCTGATGGGCCTACATTCTTATCAATTATTGTTTTTTTCTTTTGCTTATGTATTTCTCCGTATATGTATTTTGTATTGATGATGTGGAAATAAACTTTATATTGAATTAAATTGAATTGACCTTTGCTACGGATTTGAAGAAGCTTTGCTGACTGATGTCTCGCAGATCCTTTGCCTATGGCAATATATAACGTTAAATAACGTTATAATTTTTTTTTTTTTAATACAAAAACGATAGTTTTTTCGGTATTTGCGGGTCGAATTAGACGTTTGTATATATATAAATGTAGGTATGTATATATACTGTCTCTTATACACATCTAGATGTGTATAAGAGACAGCTGTACACAAAGTAAATTGATTAAAACAAATGCTAGTGCTATTAAAAACTTAGAAACTACAAAAGGTAAATTGATTAAAACTGAGATTGCGCTCCCTAAGTTCTGTTGGAACACTCCACTTTTGCATACCCTAAGTATAAGTAACGTTCAGTGTCAAATCAGAACAAATCTACTTAATCTTATTAACCAGATTTTTTGTAATTATAACTCTAAATCGAGAAAATTATATGGTCATTTTTTAATTGTTGAGGCCAATGGCTGCAAAAACATTAAGCACACTCTGGTTGATAAGATTAAGCGCAGTACTGGTGATGTGGATGATTTTTACTTATCATTGTATGTCACAAATAATCGCTATCGCAAAGATCTGAATAACAGATTAAAGCCATCGACTGTAATGATCGCGATCACTGTGACAGTATAAAAACCATTATGTAGATTAACCCCTGCCTTAACAACGAAACAATTCTTTACCTAAAATTGTTACTCAGAAGCTTATGAATAAGAGGTTATACGGTTTTTGTCGTTTTTCGTTTTGCTATTCTTTATATATTTATGCAAGTTAAGTATACCTTGTGCTGTGTTTTAATTATTTGACTTTTAATAATTTAAGTCAATGTTCTATTTCCGATGTTTGATGTGTTTATATTTTTATGCTTCTGCTTGTTTGAAAGTATTTTTTTAATAAATTTGAATTATTATTATTATTATTATAATAACAATAACAATAATAATAATAATAATAATAATAATAATAATAATAATAATAATAATAATAATAATAATAATAATAATAATAATAATAATAATAATAATATCTT